GACTCTATAGTCTGTTGCTAATACTGAAGGGTCTCCTTTGCTGGTCATTCTGTATGTGCCAAGGAGGCAGCCTGTATCTTGACACTCGGAAGTAACTTTTCAGGTAAAAGCAAAATAAACTGGGACTCAACCCTACTACCTCCCCCATGAAAGCTCCAAGCTTTAGCAAGAGCCTGTACAGATATAAGTGCCTGCCCAAACAAAGCAGAATATGGCTTTATAGCTCTACTGTCACCTCCGTGAGGGTGTAGTTCCTACTCCTTGTATCTATCAACTTCATTCTTGCACCAATACTCAGACTGCTATGTTTTTCAGAAGAAAACTGGACTGAAGTCAGACTGAAGTAGTTGTTCAAAGACAGTATACAGAGAAATTTGATAATTGCCCCAAAATGTTGTAATTTTACTGTTCAGTGGCAGGATATATAATTATCAAATATAGCCTGGAAAAAAATGATGTACATCACACCAGAGCAATGCAGGCTCTTCATGCTCCTTGAGAAGCACAAAGACAGTATTTCAACTTTTACTTTACTGGAACTAGCAGGGATAGAGTCATAAAAGCAGTGCTGCAATTGTGAGAGCAGAGACAGAGATCTATGCTACAAACACCAGGGTTCACGACAACCAAAAAACCCAAGCCAAACCAAAAGTATTTCAAACACTTTTCTCCAGCAACTGCAGCACAGCAGAACAACTATCTTTTGCCATTCCAGTCTGCTGCTCCAGAGGAACAGTGGTTTTTACCCACCTTATGTCATTCTTCCACTAGGTATTTTTCCATACAGCAAATGGTATTTTTAGGACGGGGTAAAGGCAACTTTGTGACAGACTAACATTTTGTTCACACTCCACTTGAACATTTTACTATAATTTTATTTGCAGATGGGCTTCCTCCCTAGTACTTTATAATGCTAAAGTATATGGACCTTAATAACTGCCCAAGTTCTATCAGGTAAGAAATTATATGTGTAATTATGTGTGCAACATAGACCCACATGCACACTTGGTCTTGTGCATGCACAGGGCAGTCATATAGGCACCTGCATGAAAAACATGCATTTTTGTGCAAATCTGAAGGCCTGAGCTCATAATTCCACAACATTCAAATTCTGTAACAGGCAGATGAGCTATTTCTAATGCCAGCTGCTGAGGAAGTATTTCAGCACCACAGAACTCCATCAATGGCACTTGCACTATTTGGAGGCTTGTTACACTAGAACTGATGGTTTTCAGTTGTGTATTGGCTGGGGAACACTAAGCAGTGACCGCACAGCATTACACTAGAAATCAAGTTCCAAAGGCATCTTTTTCAGGCTTACCTAACTGACAAGGTTCAGTTGGAGATTGGCCTTGAGCAGAGAGGGTGTGCTCCAACTCAGCAGGGGTGGTGGAGGTTTTGAGTGGTAAGAACTGCCTAGTAAGCCTCTAGGAAAGAAGGTATGGAGTCCCAAGTTGCACAAATCCTCCTGCAATACCACCAGAAGAGAAACTTATTCCCAAAAGAAGGGCAGGTGAACAAGCCTGCCTGATGGGAGATTAGCTAGGTACCTAGAGTACCAATATAGACATACAATAGGAGGATCGAAGCGTGAATTGAGAAATATGAGTATTCATGCTGACATAAGTGCTGACATAGGTAGTTTTGGTTTGTTTCAGACAGGAAAGACATTTCTTTCGATTTTGGTCGTTAATGTCTATCCCAGTGAGTGACTTACAACCAAAAGTAAGAGGTTGGGTGCAGGACAAGCCAATTTTATTACCCCTGGAGAAAGCCTCAAATGCTTTTTGCCACTGCTTCTAGACAAATGTCTTACTTAAGTTACACATCATGAAATAGAAAAAATATTATCGAAATACTTTCATACTTACCTGGATTATGATATATTTCCCCAACATACTCAAATGCAAAGAGAAGCTGAAGATCTGTTGGCTGAGAATAATGGGCTATTGCAAGGCACACCTAGGAAAGAAACATTTATTACTGTCATTTACAGACACAAAATTTATTGCCCTTAATTACGACAGCATGAAATATGCAAAGCAAATGTTAAAAATCAGTCTTCTGATGCTTTATTTCCATATTTTATTTGAGGAGTGAATTCTATAGTTAAACATACTAATTTTTGTCAAGAGACCATTACTGTAATCACAGTAGGCAAGTTCATGACCATCTATCAAGAGTGATTAACTGATAAGGCTGGACTAAGTTTTTGCAAGAAAGGTCAGACTATTAACATTAGTTAAGGCATCCCTTAAATATGATTCTGTATCAACAGAGACAAGCAAGGACTTGGAGCTACTGTGCTGTGCCTGCCCACCTGCATAGAGAAGGAAGGAGAACAGGAAAAGAGAGGAGCACAACACACAGGTGGTGAACACAATACAGCAAAATCTCATTTGTAATTAGTCCTTTGATAATTTTTTTTTTATTTCTAATAAAAAGTACTTATCAATGTAGCATAAGAACACAAGAACGGCCATACCCAATCAGTTCAGAAGGCCCAACCCAGCACCCTTCCTGACAGTGGCCAGCAACTGACGCTTAGTCCCTGAGCGACTTTTTTACCCTAAGAGGGTAAAACCAAAGCATATAATGACATTTTACCAGAATATTTTTCAACAGACCATCATAGTTCAAGCACTTCCTCAACCAACATCTGGTATTACTATTGAACAGCATTAGACAGATAGTTCTTCTACAAAGTTGTCAGCTGAGCCAAGAGGTTCTTAAAGTGCAACTTCCCTTTACAAAAGCCCTGTTGGTTCTTCCCTAAAGTAGCATATTTAACCAAACTTTGTATCTAATTATTGTTTTTAAAGCTTTTCCCCCATTGCCCCATATAGGCACCAGGCTTACCAACCTGTGCTACCAAAACTCAACCTTCAAAAACTCCTGTCCTTGGAAGGGACAAGAGGTTGTTCTCAGGAAGACTTCCAGGACCTATGTCAATCCTGCATCTCATTAAGTTCTATTCCAAAATTATGATGGGTGTTGATGTATATAAATGAAAAGAACCTTGTTTGGTAATAACAAACAGCATTTGCCCAAAGTTACTTGGAAATAAGTAATTCACAGTAGGAAATGTTCTCTTTACGTTACACACTTGTGGTTTGTTTGTCAGCTGAATGACAGGCCAAAGATTCTCCATCAATGTTCAATTTCAATAAAAAGTGAGTTTTGGGGGTCCTTTGCCAAGTGTGGAGGATCTACAGTTAATTAAACATGCCAGTAATCACCCCCTTCCAAGTCCCCAGCTGATCTTGAGAACTGAAACATCAGCCAAACTTTCTGAGGGTAGGAAGATGTCAGCTTGATCATATTCTGGCCTAGCCCTTGTAGGTTCTGTCCCAGATGACTGGATTTCAACCACAAAAGAAACCCACCCGTAACTTCAAGAGGCCTGCAGGTTTATAGCAAGCTCCAACACCGTCTCTGGCAATCTGGTGCATTAATCAGGTTTAACCAGGCTGAGTCACGAGCCCTGCCCTGGGAAGGGACAGTCAGCAGAGATTTAAAATGAGAGACAGATGCAGCCTCAGAACAGCAGAGATTAACTTGGGGCACAAGGAAGAGTCTTGCCTAAGTCTCCATGTTCTTTGCAATGGCCTTGGGACCAGCATCACACAAGCAACTGGCTTTCTACCCATATAATTGTTCATTTTGGTAAGAACCCTAAGATTATTAAAATTAAAGAGTGCAGCACATGGTTTAGGATTAGATACTGTACTTCAAATACAGTCAAGCTTTGCTAGCCTTTGTCTCTTTAATTGTGGATATTCACTAATAAATACAAAAGATTTGACAAAAAAGCTCTAGTATCTAGAAGAATCAAATTCAGGGAGAAAAAAAACCCCTCCAATTTCAAGTGAAGATGAACACTTATTCTCAAACTGTGAGGACCTGATTTTTGTCACGACTTTCCATTTTCACTAAGTACACCTGCCTTATCTCTAAAGGAAGTGTTTAACGAAAAGGAGGTTAAAAATGTAAAATTCTATTCTCCTTGTTCAGATGCAGAAATTCCACGTGACAACGTTTTTAATTAGGGACAAAGACACAGTACAAGTTCACATTATCACTGCCTAATTTTTTTTACTTCTCGTTTTCTTTCTTCCCTTCAACTCCCTGACTTTCAATATTTGGCAACAGGTTGGCACCATTTATTCACTGTTCAGCAGTTTTGGATATTTATTTCTTACAAGAAACTGTTTTCTGTCAGTGAAGGCAAGTTTTCTTGTTGTCATGGACATAAAAGAAAGACTTGCATGATGCAGCTGAAGGAACACTACTACTGGCAGCACTGTGCCACAGGGCAAAAACCCTTGAGAGCTCACTTATGCCAAGTTCTGCATGGATAAAGTTATTGTACTTTTACCAGCTTGTATACAACATATACGGCATTATGGAACTTTTGCCATATTTTTATTTACTTTGGCTTTTGATAAGGACATTCCTCACTATTTATAAGCCCAAAGGACTAACTTGAGTTGAAAGGAGTTTTTCACAAACACTGCTCAACAAAAAAATTCCTACCGAGTCTTAGAAGAACAGCTGCTTTAACTTTTCTCCCACTTTTAGTTCTACAATGAAAGTGCAAAGGAAAATAGAGGACAGGACATTTCCAGGGGGTGGGTCAACACCCCCCCAGAAAACTTAAACAGTAAATGTGTCACTGGGAAATAATCTAGCATGGCCTCTCAAATGAACAGTTACAAGCTCATTTCCAAGATCTGGTAAAACTTTTCATAACTACCATGGAGTAACTGGAAGCCATGCACATTTTACTAAATCTTGTGATTTCGGTGCACAAATCACAGCTGAAGCAGCCAGCTATTCCATAATACTCCCTGCTTCTAACAGACTACTTTTGCCTATCATTCACAGTGAAACAAAATAGAAATCTGTGTACATGCACATTTTGACTTCCATTTTTCTACGTAACTTTTCACTTGAGTAACTAACAGAGCTACTCCTCACCTTCACTGGTGGGAGTGAAGGATGAAAGCCTTTTACTATATTGATCTACTCTCAAGGCTTGAAGATGAACCGCAAGAAGCTAAAAAATTCTGTGGTGCTGCCAAATAACACAATAGAAATACAGGATAGCCTATTTCTAAACACAGCATCTGAAGTCTATGTCATTTACTTGCCACATTTGAGAAAGAGTACGTGTGTGCCGTGTTGAGGAGTAAAACTGGGTGGAGAATGGTAAGCAGTCAGATCCAGTTCCCAAAAGGGATGAGACCAGAGCTGTGCTTTTGAACCCAGCAGTTGAAAAATGCTCCTAGGTGTTCCACAGTGCAGGCATTACCCAGCACCAGGTATTGCATGACCGGAACAGTGCACCTGTAGATTACAATACAGGTACAGCACCTCTGTTTCTGTTACTAAAAAAACAAACCACAGTTATCCGGCTACTATCTTCATTTTTACCTTTTAGACAAATTCCACTCGTATACACACAAGTTTTAAAAACACACTAATTTTTGGTTTATTACTCATTAAACCTGTATAGTTGTTTTATTGTCTGAAATTTGCAAAAGACAAGCACATTCCACAGATCGCAGCAGATTATCACCGTAAGTAGAAAGCTCTTAAACTGGAAGACAAACACGTTTTACAGGAAATGTTCTCATATCAAACTGAAAAATGTTTGGTATTCTTGCCAATCTGCAATTGTGTAAAGCTGAAGATATTTAGGCTCAGTTAAATAACAAGAGAATAGGCTGCTTGTTGGAAAGTTCATTTATTAAAAGCAGAAAACACAATGGCTGTAATTATTTCATAGTACAAAGGCCATTTCCGCGTGTCAGTGTCCCCTATTCAACCCCTATCTGAGAAAAATAAATTGTACTTTCAGGGCAAGCCCTCCTCTTCTCCAACAGGAATTTTCACAAAGGACAAGAGCTTCAAAATATCACTAATGCCCTTGGAAAAGAGTTCTGAACAGTCATATTTAACATGTGCTAAGTTAGCACAGCCCTGCACATCACCTCCTTCCCTAAGCCAGGCTACCTGGCCTATGAACTCACTGGAAGGATACCATTTTCCACTTCCTCCCACACCCATCTGGCTTTCCTTCCTTTGGAGACTCTCTAGCTTTATTTCAGAGACAAAAATGGAATTAAACTGCTAAATAATGATGACTGCAAGTTTCCATTCCCTCTGTCATTCCTTTACTCTTGCCTCCCAAATATCCATTAATAAAAACGAGGAAAAAAATATTTACTTGACTGATTAACGTTGAGACAGTATTTTATCAGCAAGGAAGCTGTGAATGCTCCATCGCTGGCGGTGTTCAAGGCCAGGTTGGATGGAGTCTTGGGTGACATGGTTTAGTGTGAGGTGTCCCTGCCCATGGCAGGGGGGTTGGAACTAGATGATCTTAAGGTCCTTTCCAACCCTAACTATTCTATGATTCTGTGTATTGGCTGCAACTAATGTTGAAGGTATTTTTCTAATGGAACTGATTTTTAAGCTTCTCCATAATAATTTACCTCAAAATAAACTAATTCACCTCAAATTTCAATGTGCTCTTCCAATTTTTTCCTGCTTAAAGGTAGTGAAAAACACCTGTGAAAGTTCTACCAGTATCACCCATGCATCCTGTCTATATGCCGTCACATCAGGATGTCCACATCTGAAGCCTGACTGCTTTCAAACTCGGATCCTTCTTTTCACACCCACTACCACAAAGAGACTCAGAATACTCTCTATTCTGGTAAGACAGCTTAATTAGTAAGAGTTATTCCCTCTTATGCCCTGTTAAGCAAATGCAGATACTTCCTTAGGAACAGGTTACGTTTTCTTTGCCAACACTGATTTATGTAACTGAATGCTGCTGAGTATTTCATTACATTCAAGAAGCTCTGCATAAAACAAAATACTTAACTGTATAAAGTTACCATTTGTCAAAACTATGCCATACATTTTAAAGCTAATTTTTAAACAGTAATTGCTAAGTGTACTGGGTTTATTTCTTTAATCTTCGCTCTAAGCAGAACATTTCCTAGCAACTGGCAACAAGTCAGAGACATTTATACTCCCATAGTTTGAAGTGTCTATTTTAGTAGGTAGATATTTCATTCTGACCTATCAGTGCTTCATTCATAGGATGATACTCCCCTCCATTACCAGGACAACATTTAGTTAGAAATCTCCCTGCTGCATGTATTTATGTCAAATTAAAGGAAGCTATTTATGATTTATAAAGAACTAAAATGCAGGTCTCTTACATTATAGAACAGAGACTGTAATGGTCTCTGTAACATCACTTTCCCTTCTGCTTATTGTAAAAACAAGTGAAAAACTACATTCTCTTGGTCAGGAGACTATGCTAACACACGGCCTAAGAGCAGAGCAGGAATTGCCTCCCAGCAGAACTCAGGAGGCCTGACCACCTTCCTTTGTTTTTACAAATCAGAACAACCTTGCTAATAAGTACTGCTCTGAAGGGCAGAAACAGAAACCAGATAAAATCTTTCGAGAGTGGTGCTGGCATGCCATTTAAATGCCAAATGAACAAATTAACTCTAGTCAATAACTGTGTAAGACCATTCTAGTTGCGTTCACCAGCATCCCAAAATAATTTATAATCCAGATAGAAGAAACCTGACCTAAGGACCTCATGGTTTTAAACATTTATACTTTAGTGCTACCAGAACAACGTTATTATGGAAACATTAGGTTAACAGAACTTTATTTCCCTTCAGCAGAAGTGTGCTCTGTGATACACCCCCAGAAAGCTGCAGTAACCTACTTGATGCATCAAAACTGCGATAGCAGCCACACAGCTGATAGGACAATTTGTACAAGTCGTCTTCTACTCCTCCAGTGAGTGCATCCTGCTACCGGATAATGGCAACTCCTGGCTACCATGAGCACTATCTCTATAACCACACAGATTCAGATCCCCTGGATCTCTAGAACTAGCTGTTCTTCCTTTCAAAAGAAATCACTTTGACCATGTAATTATAAATGTATGAAGCAAGCACCTTCAGAAAAAGGCTTCAATTTTTGCTCTTGCATAAGTAAATGCAGCACAAAAAGTGTTAATGAGATGCTGAGTTTATGCTTTCCTCCTCCAGGCTAATCACTCTTCTTAGCTGTGACAGCCAATTAGAAACAGTTGCTATAAAGATATTGCAGCAGACAGGGTGCTCCAGGGAGATTTCAGAGAAGCTGTGAAAGGAGAACTGACTGCTGAAAGATTGCCAAATGTGAAAGGTTACAAACAGTAAAGGCAGCAGGCAGGAGGGAACCTAGAAAAGCACCAAGGAAAGAACAGTCCGCTTCATTATCAGCCTTTGGCCCATGGAGCTCTACCAGAGGGTAAAAGGTAAAGCAGTGGTGAACTGCTTCAGTTACAGTAACTCAGATGATAACTGCAAACAGACTTATGTCTGGGCAGATGGTTCTTAGGACTTACAGAGTTAAGCTCAAACTTTATCCTAAGGAGAAGGGGAATTCTTAAGCTCTGTGAGCAGACTGGGTCATTCCTTACAAAAAGACTGCTGTGCCATGCCTGGCCCCCTCCTGGTGCCAGGGGGGATCAGAGGAGCTGTAACTCAACTATGGCACTGACCCAGAACAAGGAAGCTGGTGAGTTGATGTTATGCAGGCTAACCTAACATCTCCGATTAGCACAAACTTACCTGGACCTTACCAGGTTAAATAACACTGTACAATTCTGTTGAGACTTACAACAGCAAGTGTTAGAACTGGAGAAGGAATGACATTCCTAGGAATGTACAGATGGAAGTAATTCCTCTTGTCCAGAGGTATGCAAGTCTTTTCTGAGAAAGTGTTGAGAAAGAGCACATAGTTTTATGTAGATTAGACAAACTGGTCATTGGAGAGCTTGTGGAGAACTTGCCTTGTGAAGCAAAGAAGGGTGTATGTAAGATCGTACACTTTACCTGTGGGTACATTAAGCTTATGACTTTCAGAAAAATGCGTAATGCTTCCAACATTTTCCATGAACATGTAACCATCTGTTGCACAGCTGCAATGCAGTCTTTAAAAAGATCCATTTCATAAATTATTAATTTTTATAAGTACAACAGATATGACAAGAAATGTTTCTTACATGAACAGAAACCATTAACGCATCACTCTACGCTTTTTACCTACACTAAATCTAGATACTCTCCTCTAACAGAATGTGATTAATTTGCAATTCTTTCCTCCTACCTCTCTATCAAAACATAAACCAAAATGTTCTTATTAGCACAGCTGTTGCCTTTACTCACTGCATGTAGCAAGATTTCATAGGAAGATATAATACCTTTTTTGCACTTTCAGGACCCGCTTCATCAAAGCGAAATCTGACAATACGGAAGTCTTTGCAATAAATTATTAATTCGGTTGGATTAAATTTAAGTTTTTGGTTGGGACCAAGGACCTTCTGCTTCCTCTTGGTGTCATTCACTGCAAAGAAAAAACAAAGTTATTGGGCTGTGTTTTCTAAGTATACAACACAGAACTGGCTCAAAAAGACACAGTAATGCTGTTACCAGCAGGTTTTCATTTAATAATATATTTATATTGAGGTAGGAAAAAAATTTATATGTCCTCCTGTTGATCAAACTCCTTTCAAACAAGTGGACGAATTACTGTTTCCTGTATGGCCAGATTACTTTTGTCTATCAACATCTTCACGAACAGGGGAATATGCAGTATTCCCAAGAGCTCCAGCCAGTTAACTGGGTATGCTGCAGTGCCCTTCTAATGCACAGTAATTGGCATATGTGCCGATCTTTCTGGTTTACTTACATGTACAAACAAAGTGGAGTTAAGACTAATTCCCTATTTCTTACATAAAACTCAGGAATGGAAGTATAGTAAACTGCCAGGTGGTCTAAACCTGCATAGTCAGGCTGTGTCTCTTGGCCTCTGTGTCTCCTTTTCAAACAGAGAAAGTTAAGTTATAAAAAGTAAGCATCACAGAAGCCACAGAGATTTTATTTGTGGTAACTGGAAAACCTGGGGCACACAGCTGTTGAGTGATTAACATAGCTGCCTGGCTGCAGGTATCTTCTGGGTTAAACTGAACTACTTCCACTGAACTCAAGACAAGTGCTTTAGATCACCTCAAAACTATTCACCTTCAGTATAACAACCATCAAGCAACCTCTTCTGCAGTGTGGGTTAAAACCTCCTCTTAATTCCTGTTAATAAAAGTTTATGCTTCACTAAATTCAGGGTAAACCTGCATAACAGAAGAACAAAGTACAATCTCAAGTGTGTGGCAGGAAATACTGCACTCTCCCTCTAAAAAGCTTCAAACCTCTCTGGAAAAGCTGAACGGAAAGGGTTCCTAGAGAACTTTTACCATTCTTCTGTGAAGCTGCAGATACTCATGCTATTTGACAGTTTGGGAAAACATGCACAAGGGAGTAATCCACAATTTGTCAGCCCTTGAGTTTCAAAGTAAAAGCTATCTGTAGTCCTTTCCCATTTAGGAACAATGCATATCATGTGAGAGAGGACATAATTAATAAAAGAGTTATTTGAGGCTGGCTGGCTTCCCCCTGTTTAGCAGAATTTATTACAGGAGCATTTGTATGAGATGTGACAGAAGACTGCAAGTCCCCATTTATAAACATCTCCACATAAAAACGGTCATTCTACCTGGTACTTTTGAAAAGGGGCAACAAAAGACCATGTAACAAGTCAATAGCACCTCTTCATTTAGAAAAAGGCATTTGTCCATAATGTTCTTCTTCAGACATACATGAATCTTTTCCCAGCGATTACAACCAGCTACCAGAGTGGGAATAATTACTGGATAACTTTGGCTGCTGAAAACTAATAAGTAATGGATTAAATTACCTACAGTCAGAAAACCAAGCAGTTAACAGTCCATGCCATAATCAAGACTTGAAAAATTATCAGTTACATGAAATTCTTCAATTACAAGATGAAACATATTCTTCCTAACGAACAGGTGAGCCTAAATTACCCACCAAAAACTGGTTCTTCAAAATAAGTATTTTAGAAGTTATTTCTTCAAATAATTTAAATCTAAATAATTACAAATTGTAGGTTTTTGAGGACCACTAGCTACTAGCTGGCTAAGAACTAGATAAGATTCAATACTTGAGCAGCTATATGTGAATTGTGTAAGTGATGTGCTTCTGGCAATCTAGTGTACTTAAATGGAAGAGATTCAGGTTCTTGAATATAAAAAAGCTGCTAACAAAATTTTGTACCGCTGTAACAAGTGTCTACCCTAGAACACCTGTTAATTCAGTAGTGTAGTTAAATTTACAACCAATAGAAAGACCCAAATAAATGTCTCCTGCATGGCACCTCAAGTTTTATTCATCGAAGACTTCTATCCTAATTTTAAATAAACCAAATTCTTCAAATCAGGGAAGATTAATGACATAAAACCTTAAGCATCAACAGTTCTGCACAGCCTACCAAGCAGTTAACAGTTCTGAACTAAGTTTAGAGCTTGTCATTATACTTAACTATTTTTGACATACCTGTGACAATCTGCTCAATGCATGTTAGTGGGACATCGTGTTCACCGAGGAGGAGGTTTTTATAATGGAATTTCTGAAACACATGAACTCAGGGCCATTACTTGCAGTTCTTCAGTTCACAAGCAGATACACAGCACAACTTTGAAGAAACTATGATAAAAATTAGGAATGCCCAGACTTTTCTGACATGCATCACCCTTGCCTATTTGCAGGCACTTACAGGTTGTGGAAACAGCTCTCTTGTGCTGGTGAATTGCACACCAAACTGTTTAGAAACCCCAGTGGGGTATGCAAAATAACCCCACGACCTGCACTGAACTTACCAGCCTCAAAAATTGCTGGTAGAAATTTAATACAAGCTGAAGCATAAAATATGCATATATAATACAAAAAAATCTCCAACTATTATTGTAACCAAAGAAATAAAATAAAAAAATAATAATTCAGCTTTCATAAATGTTTATCAACTACTTCATGTCATAAATTCATTTTTTAAGTAGCTTTGGTCGAACTTACTAACCATTACTGAATAAGCACCTATCTACTTTCAGAGCTTTACACATGCCTAGTTAATGGAGTGTTTCTTTTAAAAGCCCCAAATGAAAGTGAAAACTCTACTGAAAATACCATACAGCTCACAACTTGGAAATCCAAACAGCACTGTAGTGCTGTGCTATTCCAAAGCTGATCGAGGCTTTGAATGGCACATGTTCTGCTTTGACAAAGGCTTGGTTTGTTTCTCCCCTGTTCTCATTGCTTCATCTAAACTGAAAACTCGTTTCATGGTTACTTTGTCCTCTGTCAGTAATGCCAACAGAACTTGGACTCATTAAAGGCTTTGCTGATACGATGCTTGTCTATTCACAGGAACATTTGCCATATAAAAAACATGTTCCTCCTTGAAGAAGGCAATTCCTGCTTTGCCTTTGGTAAAACCACTTCCCAATGAAGCCTCCATATAAATGGAGGCAAACAGAGCTGGCTGTACTTCCATACCAAACTTGCACTGTTCTGATACTCTCAACGAAGGGATGGAATAGCAACACCTTCAGAACAAGACAGTGGAACCTCATCTTTTACTCTGCTTTCTTTTAGAAGGCATCATATTTATATCAGATATGAGACAGATTCACTGTCTTCTAATTCAATCCATTTTACCTATAACATTTGTTGTCATGATGTAGCAATACGAGTAGTAACAAACCTGTAGTGGCATTGGGTCATCCGTAATGAAGGAAATCTTGAAGTTAGTGCAAACCAGTTTGCCCCACAGGTCATACTGACTTGTATCTGTTGCAATGCATTTTCTCACAAAATTTACTTCATTTACCACAATTTCACCTAAA